CAACAAATATACAATATGCAAAGAAAAGAGAAATCACGTACTTGTAGTTGTACAACCAATTCTGCGTGCTATGAGATAAAGTCAGTTGTGTTGGTTACCTATACCTCTGAGAGAGACAAATGCAAAGGAGCCCTGTTCCTGCTCACTAAGCCCCAGGGAGAGCAGGGCAGGAGGTGACTAACCTTGGCCAAGGTTAAATGTTCTCAAGACTAATTCTAGAGCTGTGATCATGAAAAGGTTTGTTCCTATAGACCCCCAAGTTTTTAACATGCTCCAATCAGTTAGAGACAAGAGAAAGAGGAAATAGTCTTAGAAAATCTTGATGAACAGCATGTGTGGTCTTGGAGCAGGTTATTCATCCAATGCTTGAATCATAACAGTAAGTCGGTGGTAGATTTGTTTGTATTCTGATTCCCAAGTTTCATGCAGACATTGCACATTTCCCTTGTGGGTTTTGATGTTGTGCATGATATGAGTAAATGCTAAAAACTGGAATAATGAACCAAACCCATGCTTTTCACCTGATTAAAAAGCCTAATGATTTATAAGGAACAGAGAGCCCTGATATACATTTTCAGAAGGAAATCAGTTGAATAGCAAACAAACAAAAATAAAACAAATGACTCCCAACATGATCTGAAATTCTATTTGCTTTTCTCATTGGTAATTCTTATTTTCTGTTTTCTTTCCTGGAAAAAGTACCATAGCCTTCATATTCATTGAACAGAATTGGCTGTGATTCTATAGTTTGAATTCTAGAATACAATAGAACTCAAAATTAGTACAGAGCAGAGGTAAACAATCCTAGTTCATTTCCTGAGCTAATTATCCCTTAGAGTCACAATATAAAAGGCATCTTGTTTGTAACTTTGATATCAAGGACAAGAAGAGAGCTATCGGTCAAATTCACATCATGGAATCATCCTTTTAAGGTTTCAACATATCAAAGGAAAATAAAACAGGTTGGGCAAAGATGTTAAACTATTATATATATATATATATATATAAAATCTCTCTTGGCAGTTAGGGGATCATAAGCATGAAAAGGTGATTTAGGTAGAGGAGACATTTAGGTACATTTCTTTTTTGGTTATTGTCTGGTCAATAGAACACTGTAGAATATGAAGCCAACAGATGAGCATGTTCAGGAACAATGCCTCTTAAATTGTCTTTCCATCTCAGAATGTGTGATTTCATATACCTCTGTGGCATTGCCACCCTAAACACGGAACAGTCCCACATGCACCAACTTCTGTCACATGTACCAACACTGCCACTGACTCAGCACAGAGTCCATACTGGCATGAATGTCTCTTTGAACTTATGAGACCAAAGTTTCTGACCACATAGACTCATCTCTCTTTCCATCATTTCATGGGTTCCTTGTAACTTCAGTAATTGTAGTAGCCTCCAGTTTTTACCCACACATCTGTATAATTACAGACCACACATACCTGCCTACCTGCTTAACCCCCATGGGAGTTTCAGAAATTTTTTAAATAAAATAAATTATGATCAGAGTGTGCATTCCATCTACTTCAACAGGCTATAACACCCCAGTACATGTTTCAATGTTCTTAGGTTCTTGAATGACATTTGTAAATCGAAGAGCCATTATCTATACTGTTTTTAAAACTGTAGAGGAATTCATCCTTAACAAAGTATCCACAAGTTAAAGACACTTTAGATAGACTGTCTCAGACACATCATCTTACTGGAACGAGACCTTTCAATGTCTCTACCTTAATGAAGAAATTACTTAATGCCTAAGTCATTCTAGAATGTTTTGGCAAAAACCTCTTGCTACTGCTATTTTAAAGCAAATTATAAGCCCTTCCCCTGGCAATACCAGAGAATAACAATAAAAAAATGTAGGGTCAGTGAGATGAGTTCATGAATGAAAGTGTTCTTCATAAAAGCCTGATGACCCCAGTTTGATTCCCAGAACCCAGAGCCCACATAGACATGGAAGGAGACAGCCAACTCCAGAAAGGTGTTATCTGACTTCCACACTAGTGCTGAGTCACATGCAAATCTGTACCCACAGACACACATCACATACCCATACACATGCATGCACACATGCACAATAGAGAAAAAAATACACATATGACAGGGGACCCATGTGTCACTGAATCTTATCCAGAGAAGCTGCTTCTTAGAGTAGGTGGTAATTAACATGGAAAGCCACAACTGTATAGAGTGAAGAGAGCAGGAGACTTTAGAAGGATCAACCCTAAATGAGGCAACTATTTCACACCTTTCCTTGCACGGCCCAGGATCTATCCAGAAGACGGAACAGAAAAGCTATGAGAACCCGGGATAGTGGATAACTTCAAGTAAACAGCCCAGTGAGGGTGAAACAGTGCTGGTATAAACTCAGAAAGACTCTGAGAGATGTGTAGGACCTACACAAGTTCCAGTCAGGTGAAAGCCACAGCACAGAGGAGGAAAGGAACACAAAATCCACATCTAGTTGAGAAGCTGTAGCTGATGGCTGCCGGGATTGGAGAAATCAGTCCTCTTCAATGGAGTGACACCTGGTATGCTCAGCCATGTTTAGCAGGAGTCCGTCAAGTGCTTTGTTTTTTTTTTTTCTTTTTAAAAGAGAGTTGGGGTTGAAGAGATGGCTCAGTAGATAAAAACACTGGCTACTTTTCTAGAGGACTTGGGTTCAATTCCCAGCATCCATGTGGCAGCTCACAACTGTCTAACTTAAGTGCCAGGGGGGAACTGACACCTTCACACTAACACACATAAAATAAATTTAAATATATTATTAAAAATAAATGAAGGAGAGAAAGAACAGGCCTATAGGGGTAAGGAGATGGGGAAATTGGAGGATGCAGGGTAAGAGAAGGTATAAGATCAAACTGTATTGAATGAAATTATCAAAATAAAAATATGTTAAAAAGGAATTTTCAGATACTAAAAGTATGGAAAACAATGTAAAGTCATACAAGACAAACAGTTAACAGAAGTTTTAATCATACCTGAAGCTTGATAGCAAACACACAGTTAGTGGGAATTGTAGGACACCTGAAGCCTGATAAGGCTTTGATGCTTATCTTCATGTCTGCTATTTCTCTGCATAGACTGGATATCCTTGCTGACCTCTTAGCAGCAGAGGACAATGGGCTTGTTTGCCTTTGAGGGGCCATATCACCAGCCCTGTCCCTCACTGGGTCTCTTTGCCCTGGGGTCTGACCCATTTCCCTAGTCTATCATAACTCATTGCTTGCAGTCCTTCACTGTACTATAGGACTGGGGTTCTAGGTTTTTTATTTTTTATATGTAGTGACTTTTACTTTCAGTGTGGACTTATAGCCTATCCCTGGCCTTGAACAAACAGGGTAATCAGAGTCTCAGACTTACCACCTACCTGGTGGCTTTACATAGCTCCTTATGTTTCCATAAAACAAACCTGCAGTCCATTCTACATTTAGATGATGAATTTTTCAGGAAAAAGGGAAAAACAAAAGCAGGGTTGGTGTGTTCACCCCATGCTCTGTTTCGGGCTGCCTTATGACAGGAGAGCTGGATTTTGAAGAGAACACCCTGTAATGCCTTTTTCTAGGGCAGATTCTTCCTCATAGAAGGGAAAGCTGAGCTTGGAGATAAATTCAAATTAAAATCTCCACCCGATTACATATTCAAGCTGTATTCTCTGGTGCAACATCAGATTTAAGAATTGAGTAGTTGCCTTTCTAAGAAGGTAGCTGAATCTGCTCTTTTCCCCTTGTGCTTAATTAATTAGTTTAACCAACATTTAGTGGGTGGCTAGCATACAAAAGCTGTTATGGTAGAACTAGGAGGGATGTCAAGGTAAGTAAGGCTGATGCTCCTTTCTCTCACACGTACTCTCCCCATGATGAACATACATGCATACAGAAATACCCAGCCAGAATTATTACAGCTATAATAGAGGCAAAGTCTTACTAGAAGTAGCAATGTTCTGTAGAGTCTTGTAGGATTTAACTCAGCACCACAGATGTTCACATAGACTATGTGTGAGATAGAACACTCATAAAACCATATAGTACAGGCATTTTCTGGATCACAAAGCTGTTAAGCAATATAGGTTCTGATTCTCTGGATGACATGGAAAATTGTTTCCTTGTATCTGAAAATATCCACTCCGACTAGACATTTTAGGGACATGTTAGCAAGAATAATGACTTAGTCTTGACAGGAACTCTAAATTCGTTATTCTGAACCATGTGAGAGGTAGAGAAGAGTGAATACTATGCTAATTTTTTCTAGTCCTTCCATTCATGGCAATGGAAGGGCTTGCCTGAACAGTACCACCAATACACTGGCTCTATTTGAGAGTGACACAGAAACTTCATTTAGCCACAAGCTCAGTGCATTGTCTGTTTCTTAATCACACACCCAACAGACTTGTAAATAAAATGTCAAAGCACCCAATTTAAATGGGCAGTTTCCCTCATGTTTCAGATGTGTGTGTAAAGAATGTTTTGTTTTGATTTGTTTTCCATACAGAAAGTGTGTGCAGGGGGATTTAAAGACAGGAAGAGACAGGCTGCTATGTAGAGTAATGCACAATTAAAAACAGCTTGGCACACATGCACAGCGATGCTGGCTTGTGTGTGGGTAGCTGGAAGGAGTAAACAGATATTACCACATTGCCAACTCTGCTATGTGCATCTAAGCCACTTCAAGGATCATTGGGGTTTTAGCCCTCTACCTAAGCCTTGGAAAAGTAACACATATCCATTAACATTTAGATGCATACATCATGCATCATATACTGGCTGAATGAATTTAAAGATGTATCTTGTAATATAGATCCTGTGACCAAGTCCTAACAGACAGATCAAATAGAGATTCTTAGCTAAAAAGCCACCACCATTGCCAGATGAAGAACATCTGGACCCATCTACCTAACAAACATCTCTCACAGTACATTGTGGAGAAGAACATCCCAAGTAGGTTTACCTCACTTTCAAAACATTTCTTATCTAGGCTCCTTATTACAGGGTGTTCCACAGTTGCTGGTGCCAAGATATCTGCATGCTTGAACAATGATATCAACACAAACTTGAAGACTAACTATAAAGAGGCTAAGGTAAAAAGGTAAGTGATTCCCATGAAATGAAGCATTGCAGAGTCTGCTAATTGTGTTTAATTACTATTTAATTAATTAATATTTGTGATAATGTAAACAAGGGAGAGAATGACTTAAAAGCATGGCATCTAAAAAAATTAGGGGATATAACATTGTGCTGTTGACAGTATTTAGTTCCATTTAAATGTGACTAGCCACAATCAGCCCCTCCTAAATTTTTGGGCACTAACATGCCTAATCTGCTTTAAAAGGAGAATAAATTTATGGAATGTATTAGTTAAGATACAACAATCACAAGAGTAGTTAAGTTTCTTTGGCATCTAAGATCTGTCAAATTGCTCCAAGTACTTCAAATAAATTAAAATGACTTTCATAACAGCCAATATGAAGAAACTTTTTAATGTTCTCATTTTTCACTCTTAACCCTGGGGGTGACAAAAAATGCCAGGGAGGTGATTTCAACAGGAGCCATGTAACCCATGACAAACTTGTTCAACAATCCAAGTCTTCTATGGGACAAAAATTAAAAATGAAAGTCAAGATCTGTTTACGTTACAATGTTCCAGTTCAACAAATGTCATGAGTCAAGGAAAGCAGAGGGTTTAAAATACCTTTGCCCATCAAGGGAACTCACAAGGTCATTCCACGGACACACTGGTCTGAGTTCTCAGTGCCCCGGATATCCTTTTCTGTGTCTCCATGGAAGCATTACATCCCAAGATTGACTCCTAGAAGTATCAAAAAGAGAGTAACATTTAAATATTACAGTGTATGTTAACAGAAAGGAGTCTAATCCTATGTCTGAACTAGTTCCACCATGCAGCTTTCTCTGGCCTCATTTGTCACCGGTACTGGCTTTCTCTACAATGCTGCACTTTGATTTAAATTCTTCATTGAGCATGAAAGGATCATTTAGATCAATGAACTTCTATCATCAGCATAAAGCCTGTGGTTTAACTACAATGTTTCTCCACTTACATCTTCTCTCCAAACGCAAATTTACAAAAATGAAGATTTTTTATTTTTGCAAAAACATCATAGATTCATTTCAACTGACCATCTTTAAAATTTTACAATAATTTTCTTTTTTCCTGAGTGATGATTTTCCCTGTATTCTTAGTACAGTAATGTATATAAGAAGGTGTGTTTGCAAACTAAAAACTTGAAATTTCTATAGAAATACGAGAAACCACTGATATTAATTAAAAGACCCAAAGTAACATTTTAGTAAGAAATTGAAAGTAGAACAATGTTCCAGAATCACCACAGAATATAATTAAAATCTGACCGTTTTGATACTCCTTGAGTCTATGGAGTTTTTAACAAAATTTTCACTTTTTTGTCCAAATCACTTTTTCCTCAACTATAAACATTTTAAAAATAAAAGATAAGAGATTTCCTGATTTTTCAATCATAACTTCAGATACTTACTTAGTCCTTTAATTTACATTATTTTGTCATATAAAAACAGGCTAATACATGCCTTTTTTATTTGCATTAAGATGTGTCCTTGATTGTATTTTTTAAAGACAAAGTAATTGACTTGAAGTTAATGTGTTTTTGAGCTGACATATCAAAATATTGAGTCTAATTTGACATTTATGTCATGTCTATCAAATACATTTTTTGAAAAAGAGGTAGCTAAATAAAAATAAAACATCTTTCACCTTTTTTCTTTGATTTGGTTGGATTTTACCTTACAAAGTAACTTTCACCTTACAAAAGGGTTGGTATATCCTACCTTCTGAAATCTGTTATCTAAAACAGAGAGCATAAGACTTTCATGTATTTAAAAACAATTTGTTTCATAATGCCATGAATATAAAACTAATAATTGAAGCACTTTTAAAAGAGCCCAAAACATAAGAGAATTTCTATGATCTACAGTTACTCAAAAATCAGCACACATACAAAGGGAAAGAAAAATATTGAGAAAAAATATTCAAGTATGAATGGGTCTGGAAAGCTAAGTTCAAGTATAATCTTTTTTTTTTTTTTTTTTTTGGACAGAGCCAGTTGGAACTGGCCTAGAATTTATGTATCCCAAGTTGATCTCCAACTCATGTCAATGCTCCTGCCTCAGCCTCCCAAGCACTGGGATTATAGACACATATCACACTCAATTATATTTTTCATTCCATAATGTTGGAGACCATGATTAGGTGGATTAAATGGCCATGCATTTAGAGACATGTTAGAGATCTAATATTTTCATTCTGGTATTTTAATATGTTTTTTCATTTTGTAATGCATCTGTATCTAGTCTTTCTCATGACTTGATATAACATTTTCAGTTATGACCAAAATGTGTTAACTAGGACATATGATCTTTTCTAACTAATGAAGAAAACAAATTTAAAAAAACACACAGGTGACCTACACTTGATAATGTTGTTTATTTAAAGAGCAATGCAATAGGATATATATATAATTACATATCTAGTAAAATACAAAGTATGATGCCTTTGTACATCTTTCATGTGTACACATGGTTTATTATTATCTGCAACATGATGAAAACAGAAAAATTTAGCTGTTGAATGCAATTTGTATTGATGTCCTTAACAACTCAAAACCAGCTGAAAGTAAAGGACTGTTTCAGAAACCAGAGTAAATGTAGCAGAAATATTTAATGTTATAGAGGTTCACATTCAGATTTTCAGGAGAAATGAAAGATAATCTATTATCTTAGAGGAAAGTTTCTCCCTTTAATTCAGGAGCATTTTCTAGTCATGATCATGCTTTTGAATACTTGGTGGTCATTAGGGCTTAGCAAAAGTTTCCTTGAATAATATATTAATATCTGGAGTATAATCTCATGCAATATTATAGTAGTTAGTGTTAATAACAAAGACAAAACACAGAGAAGCTAATTACTACCTTCTTTTAAATCTCCTCTTTCTTCCCACATGCGCCCCCAAAACATGTTTGTTTTGGAACCAACTGCTGAACGGTACAGAAGGAGAATTTAAAGTCAGTGACTAATGACACAGGCAAAAAACATAAGAGTCCCATCAGCTGACCAGCAGCTGACTAACTCGAGATGGAAGAATGCAAGGACATTATTCAAGGGCAAAGAATAACATTCCTTTAGTAGCTAAATGGCTGGTGTGAGACAGCGTGTCCTACTCTAACCCCAGAAACAAACCCACTGTGTTAAGATTATCCAGTCACCAAAGGTGACCTTTGATAGTCAGGAGGCAGATTACAAAAGCCTGTACACTCAACTGCAGAGCCATTTCTGTAGCTACAATGTGAAGCCAGGCTCATGGCCAATGCCAAAGTGTCCTATTGTATTCTTTAGTAAATATTATCACCTAACATCTTCAAACAAGTCTAAAGCAACAGAAATATGAGACCTAAGCTAAAGGAACAGTACCCACTGCCTTAGAATAAAAATAAAAAGATAAAACATTAGTTTAAAGTTTTTTTTTAGTCTCCAAGCTTTAGCAAAACTACTGAATGGATGAATCTTATTCACATATCTTTGGACTAGGGATTTAAGAGTTCTACCTTCCTATTCAAGTCAAAGATGAAAAAAGTCTACAGGCACTGAAAACAAATAAAATCTGTTTTCTGTTGTACTAAAAATTAACAATTAAGAGCTGCAAAGTCAAAATATACTGCAAATACCCATCTACATCAGCTTGTCCAGTTAAAATTTCACCATGTAGAATTATGATGATACTAAGCTAAAGGTGTAGACAGCAGTAAAGGGTTGGAGTTGGGGATGCAGGAGGAATAGCCAGGGGATAGGGAGTTGGGGTTTGGGGAGGGGGGTGAGAATGTTTCAAAACCAAGGTTCTTGCAAAAATAATAGAAATTGAACTTACAGTGAAATACAATTTTAAGAAGTTTCAGCTCTTCAAATTCCAGGATATAGAATTGAAGCAAATGGGTTAGAACTACAGGGTTGGATTTCTTAACTCAATATAAAGAAATACCTGAAGGTAAAGTTGGCTAACTCGGTCTTTGCAACCATTCTTCTAAGGCTAACATCCCCATTTCAGAGACAGGGAAGACTAGGTTCAACGATTTTTAGTTTGTACATAGTAGAGAACTTTAAGGACAGGAGTTATTAGCCAATTTTGAGTTTTTTCATCCTATCCATAAATCCAACCAGTTAAAAAATACCATTCATAAACAAACATCAAATGTATTCATCACAAAAGCATGAATGGACTATATGTTATATAAAGCAATCACGCTAAATTTTATTGACTCTTCTACCAAAATTCAGTTATTACTGACATGCCACCACTTCAAAAGCAACCTTCATTTTTATATATTGTTGAACAGTGAATCTATTGAGCAAACTCAAATTGCTTAACTTATATTACAGTTACCAAAAATGCTAAGATGGTATTGGTTTAACGTGTAACAATAGAAATTAAATTGTTGAGAATGAAGATACTCACAAGTGAGCAAAACAAATGTGACATGTAAATTCTAAATGTTAAGTATGTAACAATCATTCCAAAAATGAAACATCAAAATATATTAAATATGCACTTGTATCATTAGAATTTGCCAATCAAATATTAACCAAACCAACAACACCAGATGCATAAATCCAGTTAATTTCACCCAGATGCTATTCTGAACTCAGCAGCAACAAGTAACACAATCCAGCACCCAAAGAATTGTCATGCTGACTTCCTTGAAAGAAAGTGCATTAAATCAGGGCACAGCAGTATTTTCCAGAAACAAGAAGATGCATTGAGTTAAACACCTACAAACATTCTCAGGATGTCTCTCTGCTTAGTGCTCTCACTACCCAAATAAACTGCTCCGTCTAATCATTAGTTTTACCTTCTGTGCCCATTATTTACCCTGCTGTGCTTTTTCCCATTTGGGTCACTCTCTCTACTTAGTCACACAACTTTGGGTGTCTTTCTCAGCCCTTTTCATCCCTGCAGATATCACTTAAAACAAAAAGCAACAACAACAACCCTTTTTAACCATGACACTGTATCATCACCACATTCTTTTCTCTTTCAAAGACTGGTTTAGGATTTCTTTTCTCCTTACATTTACCTCTGGAGTAGCCCATACAAAACCTCAGTGCAATCCTTCTCTGGCCACTATATTTTTATCTTTTCACATTCATGAAAAGAAATCCATCTTAATCGAAGTTTATTTCAAAGCCACATCACCCTAAATACCAAGACTCATCTATCTTCTTTTAGATCATTTCTTCAAGATCCATTTTTCATCATCCCAAAATACTATCATAATTAATGATGGTAATCAATACTCACAGTCTGCAATCAATAACTTCATTATAAAATTCATGACCTCTACTTGACTCTTATTTCTAAAGTCATCTGCTTCAAACTTGAACTTCATGGCCACTGTGACTATCTCTGTTACCAGCACTGACAATGTTATTTCCAAATTACAGATTCCTGTCTTTTATACAGTCTTTGTTGTCCTTATAGAATCTCCCTGGTATTGGGTAGACTCTTGACACCACTTTCAAACTAAGTCATCTCCCAGCCTCTTGACTTGTCCTCTCCACACATTCAGGGCTTCAACAGAAAGGTCAGCATAATTCTAATTTTATCATCTGTCATCTACCAATTGAACACATGGTCCTTTTGCTCCACCTAAATAGGAATAATAGGTAGGTAATAACTGCCAGCAATCCTTGACCTTACAATGTCCAAGATCTAAATGCTGGATTGGTAGATTAACAGGCTCACAGTTCTAATCTATGAGTTAGAAGCCTTTGGTACTAGACTTTAAAAGCCATAGACTAATGGCTCCCAACATTTATGTTGGAAGCTTACAGTCTGAGATAGAACCTTGGGCAGTCCCAGCATGTGGTAACCACTGTACTTCTAGGTTGGTAGCCGCAGTGAGGAGCTGTAGCAGGCAGCAGCAACCAAGAACAGGGAGTGGCTGCTGGGGTTACAGCTTTCAAATAGACCCTGGATGTTGACAGCCTCTCAGCTCTTCATTGCAAGGGTTAAGCTCCCAGTGGGCACTGTTCCAGCTCTTGGAGTAAAGATGTCTGAGAGCCTTGGTCTTTAAAGTCTTGACAGCTTCCTGGAACTCTTTCCATAACCAGAGTTTGTAGCTTCTCATAGCTGGGCATGGCCCTCTAGGTTTCTAATGTCTCCATTTCATGAGGTTTCTGCCCTGGTCTTTCTCTCAAGGTCTTCAGCTGCCTTCTCATGGCTACTACCTCTCATGCTGCCTAACTTCACCATGACTCCCATTCTAAAGTCATTTCCACAGTCTTGTCTTTAATCCCAACCCACCCCATTCTAGTAACCATAAAACCCAGAAGTAGGAAAAAAAGACCACCTAAGACGACATTTCCTTCCTTTGCTGGAGCTTCAGGCTCTCATAACACTGAAATGATCTCTTCTTCTAGCTCCTGTCACGTTGTTTCACATCTTGGAGTCTTTCCTGCCTTACTTAATGTGTGAGGTCCTATTAAGGAGTTATCTGATTTTTCAGTTAAGCAGGCAAACTCCTACTTACTCCCCAAAATCACTTTTAAATTTTATGTCCTATGAGAGCGGCACACCAGAAAGACTTAAAAAGAGAATCAGGACACTTACAGGATACATTTTCAGAGAAGGCAGTAGGAGGTAACCTCACACTGAATGTACATGCAGTCCAGCTATGAATGTGGCCAAACGCAATGTCCTGAACTGACTTAAAACATTCTGTAATTTTACTTAATTTTTATCTTTTTCAGATCAACTGCAAAATTCTTCAGCACGAACTCAAGTGATGATGCTTCTAATGGTAAAAGGGCGGAGCATTTTCTACAGTTGATTGATGACAGTGGCTTCAATTCCTGCTTTACTTTTCTTTCACAAACATTTGTGCTTTATGAAAGCATATTAAGCATTCCCTGATGGCTCAGAAACACAGTCTTATTGTTTTAGAGATTGTCCATTAATTACAAATGTATCTGCTATTGTTGTAAATTGCCATGTCCTGTTGTCTATGAAGAGATTTTTAGAAGAAAGAAGGAGAAAGGAATTAGTTAGGCTATACCTTGGATTTATTAAGAGGAAAGTAAAAATTTCACAAATAGGCTCACTGATTTCTCTACAGTCCAAAATTTCATTAAAGGCTATTTATTTGTGATATCATACAATAAGTCCAAAGTACATTCTGAAACATTCAGACCTCCTAAAAAGCTAGGTTCTACATGTTAACATCTGGTGTTTAGTTTGGTGTGTGTGTGTGTGTGTGTGTGTGTGTGTGTGTGTGTGTGTGTGTAGTTTTTTTTGTTTTGAGTACCCAATGTTATGTCTTAAATGAAATCAAGTCTCCTGTCTTAATAGAAGTTTTATTTTATGTCAAATATCATCAATATCTGAAGGTCAATATTCACTTAAGGCATTTCCTACTTACTCCACCCACATTTCTAGCACAGTATCCCTTCCATGTTGAGAGCTGGTCAGAAGGCATGTGCCTCTCTGAAGGGCAGTAAAGGAGCCATGACCATGAATATTCATGATTACACAACCAGATGACCTGATGTAGGTCATCTATATAGCACAAAAGTCACCCTCTCAAACTGAAAGGTGGCAGTGACATTTATTCAGATTTAAAAGCCTGTTTAGAGAACACACTTTACTCCAACAATACCAACTTTCACCAACATTCCCTCCATACTGTGAACAGGCTGCTGGCAGGCCAATATCTTCGAATTTCTGGGTTTGGTTACACTTGTGTGGGAACGCTTCTCTCAAGCTATTTTCAGCATCCTCTCGGATTACAGTAAGCTATATTGTAAATCTAATTACACTTACCCACAGGGAAGAAAGCACCTGAAAACGCTTCTCTCTAATCTACTCAAGGAAAGACACTACTGTTTTCCTTAAACCACTTATCAAAATGGCTATTACACAGTTATTTATATCTCTAATGGCATATCTTCCATACAAAAAAATCCCACAAGGGCACATTGATATGTTACATATATAATACCTCCCACAGTGCCCAGAACTTCAATAAATGATGAACAAATGCAACAAGGAACACAGAGAGAACTAAGTTTACACACATTTAAGTTATTTTATACTCATGAAGAAAATTAGCATGCACTCATAGGGACTTGGAAATATAGTACAGTCAAGCACAAACTTCCAGTTCAAGTAGATTCAATGCCAGGTTTGATATTTAAAGTTCTGTGTGAAACAAACAAACAAAAACAAGTGGACTGAGCTTTTTAGTTTTCCTCATGTGTGCCATAAGTAAAGGTAACACATACAAGAGCATCCAGAATGTTCCATAGCAGGGAGAAGGATCTGCATGAAGGAGGTAATACCACTTATTAATGTCACTTTTAAGTGAATTTTATTAATCTAAGTTATCCTTTTAAAACATGACAATATACATCTATTTTGAATGGGCAGTGATAACTCATCAACAATTCACAGTATTTAAATGAATCTCCTAACTTTTTCATGCCTATTTTTCCAATTTTCACCAGCTTTCTCGACACATTTCTTTCAATTGAATTCTAGCATGTTTTACTGTACATCATGTCCACATTACTCATAAGCATGCTGGAATATGTCCCATCTGATCCACCAAACAACTGTCCTGATTCACAGATATGTCAATTCTTTAGAGCACACACTGCATGATCTTCCTCAGTTTACCTTCATAGACTCCTGCACTCAGCAGCTTTGCACATTTTGAAGGAATCTCTCTTGAATTATGCTCTCTCCTGGACTACATCTGCCTTGAGGTTTTGCCCTCTGAATGAACAATCAGACCTGATTTTAATTCGTAATATACCTATTCAAAAGTTTAAGCAATGTGTATTTGCTAAGACTCAACTGTATACCAGGTATACTGTTTTAGGGTGACAGAGACAAAAACGTGAATGCTGCCAGGTCCTGAAGGATCAAAAGGCTCACAACATCAGGGGTGCAAACAGAGAACAAATAATTACAGAAAATGCGATAAGTGGATTGAATATAAGCAGAATGGATCTTACATGAAGACTGAAGGGTTTTTGAGTATATTTCCTTTTAAGTGCTAAAGAGGCTTTTTTCCCTCTTGACACTGTATAAGCAATGTAAGTATCTGAGGTTTTTGGATGGATACAATCTGAGATCTCACACTGGTGGAGTCATGCCATCACTATGCATCCTTACCAGCAAAGGCAAGCTTCCCTAGGAATGACATCCAGAAAAAAACCCACAAAACACTTTCTATACCAAGTATGACCCACACTGGAAGGCACAACCAGCCATGCTTCATTAAGGTCTGGGCTGGAGAAAAGCATCAGAATATCCAATACTGCTGAGACAGTCTCCTTAAATCAGACTCTTCTACACAAAATGAATGGAATGTAAAAGCAGTAATGTTACAAAAGCAATATTCTGCAATAAAAAACCCAACAGACTAATTTGTTTTTATGCTGGCAAAATTTAAGAATGCACATCATAATTACAGCATGATTATATGTTTGGAATGACTAAAAATATTCATTTATGAATACACGTTTACTGTGTCCTGCAAGACAGAAATGCATACTTTTGAGCATACTATCTCTATCAAAGAAAATGGCTCTCAGCAAGGTTTCTGAATGCATTAATAAAAAGATGCTAATCATGATTAATTATAATCTGGAAAATTTGGCATCGACTGAGCATACACCTGTTCTACCAATACGATAGACAAATTAAAAGAACTGAGGCATTCAAAATTTGTCATAGAAGAATGTGGAAATAAGAAGGAAAAATGCTTCAATTGGCAGATATGAAAGGCCTCTGGGACAGAGAAGGAGGGGACAGTTGTTCCTCAAGTTCACAGCAACACATACATGTGCTAAGAGACACCATGCCTCAAATGTCTACAAAATTAAAGCTTAAAAAGTTGCATAGGATGATTTCAAATAATATATATGAGCTATGTGTTTGCTGAGGAAATTTTAGCTTTATACCAAAATAATTCAATTTTTGTGTAATGTCTTGGAAAACAAACTTAGAACATTAGACTATTTTGAGGTTGCTGAGATGAAAGGTGGCTACTTCCAGTTGTTAATACATGGCTGCACTTGTCTTCAATAGGGTCTGCCAACAAATTCCTGTCAATCAAACAGTTAAGGGAGGTGAGCCATTGAAAAAATCCTAAACAATAACAACAGAGTTCATCTAAAGGGAAAGTCTTATGAAATTAATACACATCTCCCACAGATCTGTCATGCCATTTAGTAATATATGCTTGATACTTGGATTTTTTTTTCAAACACTAAAATCGGTTTCCAACCTTTAAAATCTACCATTTTTTCTAGATTATTCAGTGGAAAAAAAGTTGTACAGGCAATTAATTATTAAAGGTCATTTTACCATTCTCTAGCTGCCAAGGTATCATGACTCCCAGTTAGTGGATTGCACAGTACGTAATGGGTTCTACCTAAGTTCACTTATATACAAAACTGAGGAATTTGTTTCAGCTAGATTTCCAATGGAAAGAGAATTGCGGGAATAAGTCACAGAACCAATGTTAATAAGGGGCAGAAATTCAAGCTCTGACCGTACATTTCGTACCGGGATATAGCAGAGAACTTTCCAATTAGGGCCAACAAGTCGAAAGCTGGTAACTCCAAGCTGAGATTTATAGGGAGAGGTCAGCAGCTGGTAATGAGAAACAGGAGCACATACATCCAGCGGTAACACCTTTAGTATAAGCATAGTTCTAATAGCAAAAGCTAATGGCTATGTGACAGTCATAAATAACGGGCAGAGAGTATTTTAGCCTTAGGCCCTGGGAAAGAATGGTGGTGGCATTCTACAGTTTTTACTAATGCCAGCTGAAGGAGCTCTAAAGGTGGGTGTTCCATTCTAAGTGTAGCCCATGCATGAGATGTAGAAATCACAAGAGGCAAGAAGTAAACTTTCATTGGAACTGCTTCCTTCTCTCCATCTAGTTTACACCCAGGCCCATTCCTTTGGGGGGGGAGGGCACAACGATCAGATGCAAGAAAGGATGAAAGGGAGAGGAGAGGATATGGCACTGCTCATTTCCTTCACACCTGCTAAGAAATAAAAGCTAGACAAAGATTCTCTCTTTAGACTGACTTTCATAACATTCCTGTGTCTTCTCCTAAGGCCTTCTATGTTTCATCTTTAAATCGAGTTTTTCAAAAGAGCTTGCTGGGACAGGTTAGCAAGAGACCTTCACATTAATCAGGATTCTAGTGTCTTCATCTTCCACCTCGGCCATGGGAAGGTCTGCCTTATCACCCCAGATTTTCCTCCTTAAGACTCCTGTTAGGTTCTTCTGTCCCTCATCTTCCCCCAAGTAATTCATGCTCTCTTGTGCCATCTTTAGAGCCAAGGTCAATATCCATATGCTGGGGCCAGACCCAATGCAATGATCCCTCTTCCTTGTACAAGAACACTGCAGCATTCCCTTAGCTTGCTCCTATTCATACCTTTGAATGTTTTTCTTTATTAAAATAAATAATAACACATTGGAATTCACTTAGCAAGCACTATACATCTATAAGTGAAATCAGATTGCTCATGTGTATAGAGAGTCACCAGTTGGGGGTGTTCTGCCCACTCTTTAAGGTCATCTACATGCAGTTCTGAAACATTATATTACAGCACATATCTGGGAGTGGCAATTATGGAATCAAAGGACCCTACACATGTGATTGTGGGCAAGGTAGGAACCTGGCCAACTGTGGTTTCCATGTGCATAAGCTAGAGTTAATGTTATTAACCATTTGTCTACATTATATGCCTTTTCTACTGTCATGACAAAACACCATATCAAAAGCAATGTATAGCAAAAAAAAAATTAGATGTGGCTTTCAGTTTCAGAAGGTAAGGCTATGACCATCACAGCAGGGAACATGGCAACCCACAGGCAGGCATGGTGTTGGAGTAGTAGCTGAGATCCACAAGCATATGTCAGAGAGAGAGAGGGAGACAGAGAGAAAGATACAGAGAGAGAGACAGAGACTGAGAAAGAGAGAGTTAACGGAGAATAGTGTAGGCTTTTGAAACCTCAAAGCCCAACCCCAGGCACACACCTCCCCCAATAAGGTCATACCTCCTAATCCTTCTCAAAGAGTTCCACCAAATTCAGACCAAACATTCAAATGTATGATGTCTTGTGAGCCACACTCAAACTACCAG